AGGACAGGTCTGAAGCTGACCCTGGGTAGAACCCCCTGGTGGGGCCACCCTGCTCAGCCATTTGCTTTACTCGTCCTAAGGGGAGAACTCACTCTGCAGCCTGACGGTACTTTCTGTGACTTCTGTGAGGGGTGACTATTGTCATCCATTCCAACTGGACAGTGAAAATTTGCTGACAGATTTAAAGACATGTGGGTACTGACTGATTGGCATCAGCGAGGGCTGATGATCGCAGGTAACAGCTTCCTCTGAAGCCCATGTTCATAATTGGGAAGAGACGGACACTTTATGAGTATGGTCATCTCACCATTGCCCCTTCTTTCTCTCTCTCTTATTCTCTTTCTCCTTTCCTCTCCACCTGTGCCCCTGTCTGGATGTTGAAATGCTGCCTCTCTTCTCCCTTCCTCCCCCCCGCCCCCCCTCTTTCTTTTCCATCATCGCCCTTCCCTCTGCTCCCTCCACTCGTCTGCGATCCCATGGCTTCCGTGATGTTTGCCACTCTTAACTCCCTTCTTCTTTTATTGGGAAAAATAGATTTTAAATTTGGAATGTGCTAAGAAAATGTCATTTTATAGCAAAAAACTGCAGGGTTCAGGGGCTGCATTTGTGGCTCTGGGAGCCAGTGCTTATGAGAGTGATTTAAGGGTGACAGAACAGTGTCTCTGGTGGACGTGATGGTGTTGTGGGACAGCTAGATTCCATTTTATCCTGATATTGACCTGTCCTTGCCATGTAATTAACAGTACGCCAGCCACAGATCATAAAGTGAGTGCATTTCAATGAATAATCTCCCTACTGGTGCCTGGAGCTTGTGGCACCCAAGGGAGGTAATGGGCATGGGTTATGCCTGAAATCTAGCAGGAGTGACATTTCAGCTCGATTGCCTGGTGCTGGGTTCTGAGAGCTCTGACTGGCTTCCTCAGAGAGCTGCTCGGTGCAGATGGAGGACGAGTTCTGAAGCTTCAGGCTGACATGTCCGGGAGTGCAGGGGCAAACCAACCCTTTTCTCTTAAGGCACAATGCTTTTGTTGGTTGTTTAGAAATAACAAAAAAAAATTTCATTTACTTTTTAGCTGAAGCTTAGGAGGCTCAATTTTTGGTGGTTAAAACTAGATTTCTAAATAGAGTTCCCTAACCCCAAATACCACAAGCAGAGATTCGTACAGTGAAATGAGTTTGGCTCCCTTGACAAGTGGTGCAGTGAATTCAGTCTTTTTCGTGGCTTCTGTGTTTTATATTGTTTAACAGAAAAATGAACTGACTGTTCGGCCCATTCATAGGGAAAAAGAAGTGGGGAGGGCAGTAAGCATAGAATGGATGCTCGCATTTGCTGGAGATGTGTAACGTAAGTTGGGGTAGGATGGAGGGGGATAGGTAGGTTGCTTTGAAAGTTTTAGGACAGGCTATGCTATGGTCCATTATTTCACTTCCAAGAAACACAGTTGACAGCGTCCTGTCTGACTCACCCGAGCACATTTCAACTTGTGTGGCTTTGGTATGGCCGGACGGCTTCATTTGTTCCTATGCATGCAGATTTTATGTTTCTTAATTTTTGTGTATCTCCAAACTTTCATAAGGATCCACCTACAAGACAAGATTTAAACCACCCAATCTTGGTTTCATGTACTTCATTAAGATATTCGAAGAGGAGGTTCAGATAGATTCAGGACACAGAGAGGAGGGGGGTGAGTGTTAACAATCTTCCAATAATAAATTAAGGTATTATACAGGACATGAACCAGATGATTTTATTTCACTAGAAGATGGGCTGATAGGGCTGTGCGGTCAGTCAGTGATTCCGGGAATTGCTGGGGGCTGCAGGAGCCACCCCCACCTGCTTTTTCTTTGTCTGGACTCACTAAGGCCAACTGGGCAGGCACTGACTGCATCAGCCTTTCAGGCTTAGGGCAGTGGTTTTAAATGGAGTCTGAAGAGGAAAGGAAGGCCTTTTAAAAGGAAAATATTTACTTTCTTTTTGCTGTAAGTTTTGAGTTTAACAAGCTGAAATCAAAGGAAGATTTCACTTGTGTTCATCCTTCAAGTTCAACCTGTGCATCTTTCAAATTCACCAACACTGCATGGTGCTGGGAAGGTCAGAAAGGATGGGAAACCAGCGCTGTGCCCAGCTCCCTTCCAATTCATTCAATTATTCATCCAAACACCTCATCACGGACTAGATACTTTAGAGTTTTTGCAATGTAGCTTCACTATTTAATTTGAAATAAATTCCCTGGTAATTGGCCCCATGCATAATCAAAGGCAGAGCGGAAATAGCAAGTTCAAAGGCAAATTGAAGGAGCATTTGGTCATGTCCTCCATCACCTCCTTCCATCACGGGGATCATTGTGACCTGGCCTGTACTCCCTCCTCAATGGTCCTGTTCCTTGGAGCCTGAGACAGGTGGTGCAGCAAATACAAGAAGAGGTAGGCTACATTCCCAGGTGCCTCTACTGACCAGGTTAATATTATTGTAATGTCCAGATCTAATTTCAAAGAGTGCATCTCTAGAGTTAAATGAATTTGCCTTAAATTCTGGACTGGTGCAGGTGACGTAATCCTTGGAAACACATTAGACTGATTAAATTAAGATACAGGAAATGCTATTTCACATTTCATTGCAGAGGAAGGTCAAGTCTTATGAAAGCTGTTTACTGCAACAGTAGGCTCTTATGTGTCCATTTCGACTCAATTTTCTCATTGTTTCAGGATCCGAGTTCCCAGCTCCCTTCTTCTCCTCACACGGTAGAAAGTCAATCTGCTAGGAGCTTGCTGGGATGAGTGAGAGCTGTCTGCCAGGGATGGGAAATGTGGACTCAATGAAAATAGTAAATGGGAACCTCTGCTCTATCAAGCTTGCCGTGCTGATATGCATGCATGGAACCTATTTTTTCTGTAGCTTCAGCATCATAATGAAGATAGCAATTTTCCTTCTCAGCATATCCTATAAATGCATCGAGTGCTTGGTAATTGAGTAGATGCCTTGAGTTCTGTCCTGGTAATTGTCAGTGATGCGCCCACCTAAGACAGGCCATGTGCCCACTAGCTGTAGACTCTGATATCCTAATCAAGGCTATTAGCTCGCTCGATAGCACCTCAGCCCCTCTTTCTACAAATTATTGGAACCTGTCTTATCTTTTCTGCAGTTTGCTGAAGTCTATAGCTGAGCAGGGAGAATAACACAATAAGCTGGTTTTAGTGTCATGGTATTTTGGATAAGGAGGCAGAGAGGAAATGAAATGACGGAGGCATTGAAATCTCACCCTTAGTCTTTCTTATGTTCAAAGGAAGACGGAGAGAACATTTCCTAGATACTGAGAGTGAATCTCTTTTCCAGAAAATCTGAAGTGACTCAGAAGAGGACTTCAGTTTGAGATGCCTTTTCTTCTTCTTTTTTTAAATGAAAGCTCAGACTATTCTCTCTCCACCCTCAACCTTTTACAGAATTTCTGAGTATGGTGAATTTCAAACAAGGGGAGGAACAGAAATGAAGTTGACAAGAGAAGTCTTCTAAAATTAAAACTCTCCACACAGAATTGCTTTTTTTTTTTTCCCTTTTAGAGATCGTACTTGCTTGAAGTCCTAGAAACTCAGTTCTGTTTTTGAGAATTTTCCTACCAGAGAAATCTGATAAATTTTCCCTTTATCACTGGAGGTTCTTATAACTTGTAGCTTCTGTCATTGTCCAGCGATTTAAGGCTTCTGAGTGGTGAAAAATGTTCTTTCAAATGCCAAGTTCTTAAGAGATATTTTTACTAACTTATACTATATATATTGAACAGATAATAACACAAATTCAATAGTTACAGAAAGTACAAAATGTTGAACAGAGTTTCTTCTCCCCCTTTCTTCCTGCCTCCCTCTCCCCTTCCACAGAGGCTAACCCTGTTCTCAGTTTTCTTGTTGTTCTTGTTGATTTTTGGCCTTTAGTTTGGATCTGATTGTGTTTAGGAGCTGATGGGGTGTAAGTAGTTCCTTAGGTAGATATGCTTTATTGGTTCCCAAAAGTCTAAAATGTGCTAGGAAGAGAAGGTAAGCCCTCATTATGGGAATAAACAAAGGGATTACTCTTAGCTAATAACACCAGTTTACCAAGAATCTCCTAGGCAGGTCCAGGAGACATCTCTACTTATCTATATTTATATGTTCATGTTTGATTTTCCTCCATGCCACTGATTAAAAGATACACATTTTATGTTTGACTAAGGAAGAAAAAACCTAGCCAATTACAATTTTCCAATACCTCTAATTATTTAGGTATTTTTTTAAAAATAGACTTGGCAATGCACAGTTGTTTATTATTTAACACTCTTATAACACATTAAAAGAAAATAAACACAAGGGAAATAAATCAGGTATGTGACACCTGAAACTTCTACTCACGTAGGTCCAGCCCTCCTGAATCACTTTCGACTAAACTTTCCAGTGACCCCCATTCCATTGAAAGCATTGATGATATAATTTTGAATGAATTAAAACAATCCTGAAAAGCTAGCAGTGCTGAGTTCTTAAGCTGCTGACCCCTGTGATTTTCTTGAGTTAACACACTTTTGGCAACTGCTGGAGCAGAAACACAGAGAAAAAGGCCTGGTTTATCCCAGTCCCTCTCACTTCTCCCCAGCATGTGGCATTGGGGGGTTAAAATCTGCTTTGCCAAGTACCGTTCTTTGTGTTTTTTTTTTTCCTAGACTCTGACACCCATTCTGCTAAGTTGATGCCGGACATTTTGATTTTAATATTCACACATGCCCTTGTAAAATTGCTTTGTGAGTGTTCTCTGGTTGGCAGCAATGGAAAGATGCTCTTGATGTGAAATTCTACCCAGATTTTGAACTGGCGCTGGCTTGAAAACACGTGCATTTCAGACGCAGCAAAAAGTTGTAATATTAATTCTGAGTCTAATTCAGTAAAGATGGAATTTCTGGGATTTTTAATGTCTCAGTTGAGAATTGTGGACTTTGCTGTGCTTATAAATCAAAATCCTAAGTCAAAGGCAAAAGCTGTTCCTTTTGCGGCTCTTTCGTGGTGATCAGGTTTTCACACTCAGGTGTGAGATGTGCATTCCTAAAACCTTGTTAGGACTTTGGCATTTTGCCATCTGCCAAGGATCAAAGAAGAAAAAGAAAAGAGAGGAAGAAATAGCTCTGAGATTTTTGCACTGTCTTAGTTCCTCAGCGTCAACCTCCCCTTCCTTAGAACATTCACAAATATTAACAATACTTTTTCTAAGACATATGAAGTGACTCCGTTTCAATATTTAAGTGATGGCTTAAAAAAGCTTTCTTTCTCACCAGTGAGTCAGCCATTTGTTTCGCTCTAAGAAATTTGGAAATCTGATTTAAGGATGATCTTCTAATTGAAAAGTGATCAAAAAATATTTATATTTGCAACCTAATGTGAGTGAAGTTATAGTTTTTCTTCCTTTATTTGAAATATTTGGCATCACAGCCAATAAGTTAAGGAAAATTATTTAAACTTTGGAAATAGACCGGATACGGTGGCTCACACCTGTAATTCTAGCACTCTGAGAGGCCATGGCAGGTGAATTGCTTGAGCTCAAGGGTTGGAGACTAGGCTGAGCAAGGGTGACACCCTGTCTCCACTAAGAATAGAAAACCTAGCTGGGCGTTGTGGTAGGCACCTGTAGTCCCAGCTACTCAAGAAGCTGAGGCAGGAGGACTGCTCAAGCTTATGAGTTTGAAGTTGCTGTGAGCTAAGATGATACCACAACATTCTACCCAGCGTGACAGAGTAAGACGTCTCCAAAAAAATTTAAAAAATTAAAATAGGCAAAAAATATAGAATGGTATACCCTTCCAAAGTCATACTGCTGGAGCATTTAAAAGAATTATTAATTCTTCAGGGGAACATGTTTGTGTTTAATTTTGTTGCTTACTGTTAGAGGACAGACACCAGGGAGGAATGTGGTCGTGTGGAGACTGGGGCCTGGGAGTGCCGTCCGGTAGAAAAGCCAGTCCTGAGTCTTACTCCTTAGCACATTAACAACTTTGTGGGTAACCTAGCGATTTTATACTACATTTTTTAAAAATGCTATAAACACCTTGTTTCTCAGCTTTCTGAACCAGCTTTATTATTAGCTGGTTTCCTCCTTATTGAATTGAATAAATCTTGACTTATATTTATTCTATATTTTTATAAGTCCTGTTTTTAAGTTTTTGAAAATTTCACTGTGGCAAGGTTGACACCTCTCCAGTGAAACAGAGTCATCATTAGTCATCGTAACACAATTTATTGGTTACCAAGTGCACGTGGAAGTCATTCCTGGTAGTTCACAGTAAGCATGATAATACTGTTCGCCAGGTTCAAAAGCGGAGAGTTAGACTTCTGCCAGGAGCCCCAGCATTAATAGCAGGTGGTTCTCCTTGTGTGAATGAAAAAGTTTCAGGAAACAAGGCTGGGGTTGTGTATGGGGTTGGGAGAATGGCCTGGGGAGGCAGGGGAGCTCCCCGGAGGCAGGTGTTTGCATTTGCTCCTTCAGTGCCCAGAGTGCAGTGTTCTGAGCTCTCAGCCAGGAGTGTAGTGGTTCACTGAAGTCACCGCCCTTGTCCTTCAGGGAATTCGAGGTGATTGTTCTTTCTGAGGCTCCAGAAACACATGGTTGGGTCTTTAGATTGATCTCTCAGGAAGGAATTGAGCATATCATAATTAAGCTTCCATAGTTCAGGTCCCCTCCCCTGTTACAGCCTTGGAGGGAGCTGCAACACTGCGACTGAGAGTTCCCCAATGGGGGACTTTCTAGACCCCATGGGTCTGAGAGAGAAGAGAGGAACAGGCAGGAGAAATTCACCTGCAAAGTTCTATTAAGAGGGCAGACTGGGTGAGATGGACAAAGTCTCAGCCTGTAGTGAGGCAGGTAGGTGCAGCCTCAAACTGAATTCTCAGGAGCTTTTTATTAGACTTGTGGGGAGGAGAGGGGTGTGTATACAAAGTAACAAAGTGAGAAGTTAACAATCTCACAGCTCAATTAAACAGACGGTCTTTTGTTTCTTTTGAACAAAAGAAGACTGTCAGGATGAAGGGTAATTCTCAGCTGCTTTCTAGCTCTACCGACATCCTGTCTCTGCTAAGCTACTGATTTCTATCTAGACATTCCCCAGACTAGTTTCTTATCTGTTCTGCTGAACATACGGCCCCCCTCGCCACTGTAGTCGTGCAGAGCAGCGGGCTGAGGCCCAGGCCATTCCCGCACCTGTCCTCTGGAATGCCAGGCTGTACTATGCTTCTACCTACAACCCCCCATTCTGTTATTATCCCCCTACACAAGGGGGATAATACCCCTTCAATCTCATTTTTCTCCCTCCTTTCCTTCTCTCCTTCCCGTTTTTCTTTGGGCTTTCCTGTCTATTCACAAACATTCCCTCAGTTGGAATGGGGGCGTCATGTTTAACTGAATAACTTTATCTGACTACTTAGAGGCTTTCTAGACTCGCCTTGGGGCAATGCCAGCGAAACTCACACAGATCAGTGAAGAGAAAGCCCCTAAGTATTTGAACGGTGCCTTAATCACATTATCCGGGATACCTAGCCATTTTCCTATAATGGTAAAGGGTTCAGGGTCACAATTTTGAATTGACAGAGTACTCAGAGCTCAGGGCTGCATTTTCTTATGTAACTCGGCACCTGGAAGTTGAGTGAAATGTTGCTGAACACAATATTCCCACAATCTTTTGGGGATTTTTGATTCTTTAGTTGTCTGATTCTGTTGGCAGAACCTTGGAGATAAAAGTACAAGTCAACAATGCTGGGAAAGAGCCCCCACCCCATTAGTACAGTGTTTCTGACATTCGGGAGTTACTGTGGACTCAGAATGGTCTCGGAGATAAGAACCCTGGATCCAGCGTGAAAGCCAGACTTCAGGTTAAGGATCTCAGAATTAAGAGTTCAAGGTCAGTTGATGTCCTGAGGGCAACAGGAGAAGGATCAGAGTTTCTGTAGAAGCAGCGTCTGGGGAATGTAGTGGAGAAAACTGATGCTACTCTGGGTTGAAAGTCAATGTTTGACAGCTGCCGTTTACCCAGGTGCAGGGCTGAGTTCAGAGCATTTTCCATGCACCCCCTTCCTCATTTAGCCTTCACACCAGGCCAGCAAGAGAGGTAAATACTTCTGTAGCATTACGGATGAAGCAGAGGTTTTAGAAAGGTGAAATTTCTTTCCTAAGAGCATCAACTGATATCTGAAGGTTGCATTGGAATCCGGTTGGTCTCGTTCCACGTCTGTGCTGCTAACCAGGGTGCCATGCTGCCTCCAACGTGGGCTTTTCCTGCCCCTCACGGGTAGCCAGCCCCTTTCCTCATAAAGACCATCGTGCCTGAAGGACCCAGGTCCTTGACTCCCGGGCAAGGCCCAGTTGGAGTAGCACATCTGGGAGTGTGGGGGGCAGTGGACCCCCAGGCACTATACATTCTCAAGGGAGGGGCCTCCTGGGGACTCACAGGGCCCACATGTGCTTCCTTTGAGCCGTTCCTTGATGGATTCCTTTCCACCTCCAACACACAGGGCCCCTGAGAGAGGTGCTGCCCACACCAGCTTTACAGATGGAGAATGAACACCTCGTGAATGAGCAAAACCACCCTGTCACCTCTCCTGTTAGGTCTGATGGCGAGAGAAGCTGCAGGCAGAAAGCTCCTTCACATCGGGGTGCCGCAGGAAAAAACTGATCCTTGACTAGCAAATGGGGAGCAGGAAAGGAAAGTGCACTGGTTTGTAGGCAAGGGAGGATTGCATAAAAAAAAAAAAAATATGTTCAGAATGGTTTTGTAAAGACTGCATATATGCTCCGAGTCTGTTCAGGAAAGATTCATTTCGGGAGGCTTGAACCATTCCTATTAATATTCCTTATCTAAGAGAAACAGAAGCATCTACTGAATTTCACGAAATGTAGCATGAAAAGTGATCTCCAAGGGTCACCTTTAATATTTTGTTTCTTCCCTCGTTGTTAAAAATATATTTCAGTTCTCCTTTACTTCCCAGCACAGAGCAGAGAGACAAGAGAGCATAATAACTGTGTATTATCAAATGTGAGGATGTATTTGCATTTTTGGCAACAAGCGCTTTTGATCTTACATCGTATTATTCCATAGTATTTCATAGTGTTTCAAGCACAACGTCCTGAGGTTATTAAACCTACCTGAGTTTGTGGTAGTCAGATACTTATTTAATTATGCTGTAAATTAATAAAATAGACTTTCTAAATTAGAACTTTCGTTATGAAATATTTTGACCAGAGGAAAAAATACAGAATCTAAATGGTATTCATGTATGTACCAAGCACTCAGATTTCACAGAGACTAACATTTCTCTGTCTTTTCTTCCAATGTGGCTATTCTGTGACTAAGCAGGTGGGTGGTCACCGATAGGGTTGCTGCCTAACCCTGGGCCCTTCTTCCTTTTTTCCCTCTTTCCTCCCTCATAGGGCTGATGCTTATCAGTCCCCCGTGTGTTTTTATACTTTGAAAAAATGGCTGTAGAAATGCCAAGTGAAACTTTCTTTACAAGTGTACTTGGAAGTGACCTTGTCAGTGTGGTACCATAAGCAGGTATGTAAAGTTGTTTCTCTGTCAGATGTAAATATTGACGTAGCCCACTTGTTAAAGGAGATTAAGGTTAGCATAATAACTACCAAAAAAAATCTGACCTTAAGAAGTTCGTTCCAGCTTTTCCTATCCCTCCCCGCCCTGCTGTCCCCTCTGAGTAGCCTGGCGGATCCTTCCGGCCAGTGGCCCTTATGTGTGTTCACACTGCAGATACAGCTCGGGGACACAGGAAGAGGGCTGGCATTTGTTTTGTTTTGTTTTTGCGTGAGGTGTATAATGCAACCAGTTGATACACGTGCACACTCACGCCCGCCCGCCCGCCTGCCTGCTTACACACGCACGGGCACGTCTGCTCATTGCTCTGTGAAGTGAGATCCACACCATCATGTCACTTGCTGTGTTCTGATGATTACTGCTAACGCTTGAAAACCATTAAAATACAAACAAGAAAATATTTGTACAAGGAAAGAGCCTTGCTCAAGGTGCTGTAACGTACCTGGCAGACCCCAAACTCTCAGCCAGGGCTTCCCAGAGCTCCTTCTTCCCCTCC